CAGTGAAAGACAGCTGACGATAAAGATGATGGTGTGCAGCTCAGAGAAACCCCAGTGTTTTGGAGAGACGCTTACCCAATCCGAGATAAAAAAATTTAAAAAACTTCCCATATATCCATAAACATCGTCCAAACAACAGAGAACACACACGCACTTCCTATTAATCTAAAGGCAGCGCTGAAACACATGCTGCAGACAAAGCGAGCCCGCTGATTTCAGATCGAGTATATTTATGGGAGTTGGCTGGTATGTCATCACACATTTCGAACATTGCCAAGATGTGTTACTGTCATTCATTAAACTCATGTTTCATGTTTCCATGCAGGAGTTTCTCTGTTACTTGTTTCCTGACTCCGGATCAATGAATCTGCTGTACACCCACCACGGCAGGAGTCCCAGTTTTAGAGTAGAATGTTTCAGTTAACAATATATTGTGGTTTGTGTTCGTGGCTGTTGCTTGGTATTCAATGTTACAATATTTTCTATATTTGTTATGCAATATATGTACTATTTCAAATGAGCATTGCTTGAGAGCGACACAAAACACTGTTGAGCTCCAAAAAGCACTATAACAGTATAATCTAAATGATTAATCTTGATGGAAAAATGTGCCTCTGCTTATGTACATATACTTCACTTCTATTTTAGGTAAATGGCCGCTAGTTGCAATATAAAATGCCACCAATAACATAACTTTTTACAAATGTGACCCTGGACCACAAAACCAGTCATAAGGGTCCATTTTTCGAAATTGAGATTTTTACATAATGAATAAATAAGCTTTCCATTGATGTATGGTGTGTTAGGATAGGACAATATTAGGCAGAGATACAACTATTTGAAAATCTGGAATCTGAGGGTGCAAAAAAATCTAAATATTGAGAAAATCGCCTTTAAAGTTGTCCAAATGAAGTTCTTAGCAATGCATATTACTAATCAAAAATTAAGTTTTGATATATCTACAGCAGTAAATTTACAAAATATCTTCATGGAACATGATCTTTACTTAATATCCTAATGATTTTTGGCATAAAAGAAAATCAGTCATTTTGACCCATACAATGTATTTTTTAGCTATTGCTACAAATATACCCCAGCCACTTAAGACTTTTTAAGGTTTTGTGCTCCGGGGTCATAAATGAATCATTAAAGGAGCATATTATCGATTGAATTAATAAAGACTTATTTCACACAGTTCATTGCACAATACAATGGTTTTGTCATGGAATACTCTGAGACAACATTGAAGATCCAAATCAAAGACCCCAAAAAAGGAAAAAAGTAATGAAACATGATAGTCTGTGCAAAGGGTGATGGGAATTGAAGTCAACAACAAACGGACAATAATCTAGGAAGAGTGCCGTCTGATGGCTGTCATTGGCACACCGATGTCGGGAGTAAATGACGGCTGCTATGTTCATTATTACATCCAACAACAAAACACCTCAATCGCTTAGGAGCCATTCTTATCTTGTCTACATCTGCTCCGGCGTCGAAACAATGGCGGACTGATGACAGCTCACTCAGGGCGGGTCTAAGGTAAAACACCACCAGTGTCAATCAACAATCGTGGGAGGGGCCTGGGTCTGTGTGGCATCACATCTGAGAATGGCTTGATATGAGAAAGGGCAAATGAGATAAAAAAAAAAACACTGGGTTTCTATCATTATAGGGTGGTTGTGTACACACACTGCCAACACACATTTCAGTTCAAAGCATCCGATGACCCCTTTAAGAAGTGTTTTTTTTAGCATTTCAACATTACATCAACTACTGATGAACACGCAGAGGGTTATTTAATCATGTATGACTTTGTCTTTGGGACGCTTTTGTCTTTCAAACACATTCAAATGCACAAATTCATGTTATTTCTTATTTACATGTAATGCAGGGATTCCCAAACTTTTTTTTGTCAGCCGAACCGCTTTCACCTAATATATTTATTTGAAGCACCCCTGAGATTTGAAAATAAATAGTTTAATAATTAAGTTTCACATTTGCATGTTCACAGACCTTGGTTAATTGTCACATGGCATGCAGGAAATTTATTTTAGCAAGTGTTCTATTTCGATTGATGTTATTTTAAAATGATTTATTTAAATTTTATGACTGAATTAATTATTAGCTTTTCATTAAACTCACAAACCCCGTGCAGTTCCTTTACGAACCCCAGAAAAACCTTGATATAATGTAATGTTAATGCAGTGGTTCCCAACCCTGGTCCTGGAGGCACTCCAACACTGCGCATTTTGCATGTCTCCTTTCTCTGACACACCAATTTCAGTAGTCTCTACTAATGAGCTGATGATCTGAATCAGGTGTGTTCGATTAAGGAGACATGCAAAATGCGCAGTGTTGGAGTGCCTCTAGGACCAGGGTTGGGAACCACTGTGTTAATGCACTTCATGTTGTCAGTAACAACAACTGGAATATATTTATATCAATATGGTACAAGATTATACTATTTAAATCAATGTGATAAACGAGTTAGGTCAAAAGTAATCAGAAAGTAATCAGAAAGTAGTCTGATTATATTACCTAAAATGTGTAATGTAATGGATTACATTACCAACTACAATTTCTGTCATGTAATTTGGAATCAGTAACCGATTACAATTTGTAAGTAATCTACCCAGCTCTGTAAACCATAAAGCTCAATACGCTGCAACATAAATCAAAACCTTCAAAAGAAGGTTGTCGCCACAAAAAAAGAGGACAAAGAGAGAACAAACAATCCCTTTCTGTTATCTTCGCACATAGGGCCTATTTCAGAAAAGATAATAGGTTTGAAGGCTTCACATGCTCATGTCAGGAGTTGAAATATTTCTAGTTCACAGACAAGGTTACTAAGTGACTTCTAAGTCTCATATTAACGCATATAATATTTAAGACTTGTGCCTATACTTTGAAAATGCTGAATCTAATCCTTGCATCACTGTAAACGGGATTTTTGTTTGTTTCACAAACTGAGGAACTAAATTATGTTAACGGAGAGCTTGTCACAGATGATGTCCATCAAGCTTCACTTGTTCTGAACCTGGAAGATTGCTTTAACACAAAACATTCGGTTTCATAACACATGGCCTAGCTACATTCAGTCTAATTGAAATCTGTCCTGTACCGATAACTGTTACATATGTTTTTAGAGAGGCTAGTGGACACATGGAATATGTATAAACCCTGACATTAATGGAAACGACATTGTAATTTAAGTAGGTAATGATTCAAAATGCATCAGCTAATGAGGTCCATTCGTGGAGTACAATGAGCAGAACACTGACCTGCTGTCAGACTCGGAAACCTCTAATTGAACACTGCACTGTTCTGTGCTCAATACGTATGTGTCTAGTTTACTGTCTCTGTACTCTCTCAAAATGTAAGATATTCTTAATGCAGTTATTTGGAGTCTTTTGCTGCTTTTAACTTTTGTCTTATTTGATTAGACGTCTATATAAGTCACTGAGGTCAAATAAATACTATAGACTGTGGCGTTTCAATGTCAATACAGTACAAGAGTATCATTTTGAATCATTAGGTTTGTATTACTGTCATATGCGATTGTGTCAGTGAGAAGCAAAACTGTGTAGATAAAACAGCCTGAAATTTTATTTTCAGCCTTAAAATATAGCTTTATGAGAGTAAGAGCTGTTTTTATTTTACTGCCAAGTACATTGCCTTTGGTATAAAATATAAACTAATTATTTTAACAGAGCTTGCACAAAAACAAGACTTGCATAAAACAAAAATATATCAAAGTAACGTATAAAAGTATAAAAGCATATAAAACCTTACATAGAGACAACAATTCATGTTTAAAGAAACATATTCACACATCATATACAAACATCTAGATTACATTTTGAAAGTCTGTTCCTATCTGTTCAGATTGATGAAAATGAACATTATTCTGTGGAGAAGTTAGTTCAAACTGAGTCACAGTCTACAACTGATTGTAATTAGTCTCTAGTGTTATTGTTTTTTAATTAGCCATTTATTTTATAATGTGATATTTACTGTACAGCCATAGCAAGAACTAGACTTGGCAGCCTTATATGACCTTTAAAGACAACATGAAATTCCATTAGCATTGCATTTCTTCAATAAATGTCTATAATATGGCATATTTATAAATGAAATGGAATATCCACCAGAAAACAAGGTAGAGCTGGGTTTGACCGGGTCATGAAAAGTAGAAAAATACAATTAGTTAACATTATTTTTCCCATCCACACAGGCGTGCAGTAGAAAAGACATAGTTTCACCAATGTTTTCACAAAAGTGAAGAAAGCGAAAAGACATTTTGATGAAAGATTATGAAAACAAGCCATTTTCTTGAGAACGTGCTCAGATGATAAGACCGCGGACATTTATTCAGAAAGCAAACAGTCCATTTTGATTTCATGTTGTGTTTAAGGGGAGTGCAGTCTAAAGGTCTTCGGTTTGGATTCAGATGTTCTAAGCTGAGAAGCTGGAGGTCTTGTAGGGTAGCAGGTTGTAAAGGGGGGCAAAGGGAGGAGGGTTGGGCTGTGCGTGGGATGTATCTGATGATCCTCCTGGAGATGCACTAGCAGGTGCTGCTGGAGAAACATAAAGCGACGCCCTCTGGAGGAAAGAGGAAAAGAAGCTTTTTTTAGCTTTTAAACCAGGGGTGCCCAAACTCGGTCCTGGAGGGCCGGTGTCCTGCAGAGTTTAGCTCCAACCCTAATCAAACACACCTGAACCAGCTAATCAAGCTCTTACTAGGCATACTATAACTTCCAGGCAGGTGTGTTGAGGCAAGTTGTAGCAAAACTCTACAGGACATCAGCCCTCCAGGACTGAGTTTGGACACCCCTGTTTTAAACGGCACACTTCACTTTTTCAAGATTTTTGGACTGCACACTGAGATGTTTTTCATCAGCTCTTTTCCCAGCAAACTATTGTCTTACTTCAGCTCTGTTCTGTAACCTAGTGAACTACTTCATTGTCTGCTGTAAATAGAGCACACAATAAAGGTCTTCGGTTTGGATTCAGATGTTCTAAGCTGAGAAGCTGGAGGTCTTGTAGGGTAGCAGGTTGTAAAGGGGGGCAAAGGGAGGAGGGTTGGGCTGTGCGTGGGATGTATCTGATGATCCTCCTGGAGATGCACTAGCAGGTGCTGCTGGAGAAACATAAAGCGACGCCCTCTGGAGGAAAGAGGAAAAGAAGCTTTTTTTAGCTTTTAAACCAGGGGTGCCCAAACTCGGTCCTGGAGGGCCGGTGTCCTGCAGAGTTTAGCTCCAACCCTAATCAAACACACCTGAACCAGCTAATCAAGCTCTTACTAGGCATACTATAACTTCCAGGCAGGTGTGTTGAGGCAAGTTGTAGCAAAACTCTACAGGACATCGGCCCTCCAGGACTGAGTTTGGACACCCCTGTTTTAAACGGCACACTTCACTTTTTCAAGATTTTTGGACTGCACACTGAGATGTTTTTCATCAGCTCTTTTCCCAGCAAACTATTGTCTTACTTCAGCTCTGTTCTGTAACCTAGTGAACTACTTCATTGTCTACTGTAAATAGAGCACACAATAAACACTGGGTTAAATGGTGCATTTGATTTAAATGTATTTTTAGCCGTACTTTTTCAGTACTGAATAAAAAATTATAATGACAATTTCCTCAATTTCCCCTGATGTGACCCGTCCACAATCTAGGATGAAAGCTTTCATTTAGATTGCCATGATGGATTCTAGAATTGGAATTCAAGCCAAAATGAGATGTTGCCTAGGTGGGCCGCTCATTCATTCTTAGAAATAAAGATTTCCAAATGGGGTTTCACAGCGATGCTATAGAAGATTTGCTTGGTTCCTCAAAGAACCTTTCAGTGAACTGTTCCTAAAAGAACCATTAAATTCCTAGTGTGAAGAACAATTTGGTAATCTAAAGAACCTTCAAAGATCCTTGAATGTTCAATGTTTTTCATGGAACCATTGATGCAGAACCTTTATTTTTAAAGGGATCGTTCACCCAAAAACTACAATTCTGTCATTAATTACTCACCCTCATGTCGTTCCAAACCCGTAAGACCTTCGTTCATCTTTTGAAAACAAGATATTTTTGATGGAATCTGAGAGCTCTCTGACCCTCCATAGACAGCAATGATATTACCATGATCAATGCACAGAAACGTAGCAAGGACATCGGTAAAATAGTCGTCCATGTGACATCAGGGGTTCAACTGTAATTTTACGAAGCTACGAGAATACTTTTTGTGCGCAAAGAAAACAATAATAATGCAACTGTTAGTATTGTTATTATAGAACTGCTGAATAAATTGTTATTATTGTTTTCTTTGCGCACAAAAAGTATTCTTGAAGGTCTTACGTGTTCGGAACGACATGAGGGTGAGTAATTAATGACAGAATTTTTGGGTGAACTATCCCTTTAATAGTGTTGAGGTGATCATGTAATAATGCAATCATTTTCTCAGTGACTGTTATATGTTTAATTTATTAGGCTGTATAATCCTATTCTCTTAGTTTATTTGTTGCGTTCATGATGAGCATGGCTGATCTGATGCTTAGTGATGTGTGTTTAAGTTGGCCAGAGGAACTTTTGTGGCGATGCTTCCAAAAGAAACTTTCAGATCACTCAGCAGGGGTGAGAGTGCTGGAAGATCCATGATCTGGGATTGGTTGGACTTCTGGCTGGCGTTCTCGGCAGGGCAGGGGTGTGATCAGGACAAGCCCAAGGATCAGTATACTTAGGCATAGTTTTATAAGGGAATGCTGTGGGATTTTGGACGGGGATCATTCTGGGAGCACACACCGCATCCTCAGGGATTTGATAGGGAGTCTCACACTAATTTTACGGTACACAAAAAGTCTGCAAGTCTCCACAACTGAATCATACCATAAAAGACCATGAGCAGAATCTGTGTGCGTGTGTAAGTGAGCGTGATGTACTGACCGGGTAGAGCTGGTGTCCTGCGTGTGAGTTTGGGTCCGTTAGCAGGGGTGCGGTGGGGGAAGAACAGCTGGCTCCATCAAAAGAGAATAGAGATGAACCTCCCAGCTGGGACACATCAAGACCGACCACCCCACTCTTCTGGCAAGAAGAAAAAAAAAAAAGTATAAGATCATCTCTGGCTGCCATATGCCAAAAAATATTTACCAAAACAGTTTATCTATACAATTGCCCCAGAAAGTAGAGTTTACTTCTACGTTCCAATCCCGGAAATGTGAAAAGGGTCCATTGTTTATTGGTATATCTCTGTTGCACAGGGCAATTTTGTGTGTTTGCATAAAAGCCAATGGAATCATGTTTTAATTTGATTTATATACATGCATGTAGCTGATGATCCTTTAAGTGACATGCAGGTCTTCAATTTTTAAAAAGTAAGCTTAAAAAGTTTTGAATGAAGGATAACAGATGTAAACATAAAAGTTTGTACATGAAAGTTTATGCAGTCTTTTAAGCTTTCATAAACCCGTATTGTGACTTTTGCAGAAAGCCATATATAACTCGAATGCTCGTCTTGGGAAAAATTAATTTAGCAGTGGCTGAACTGGCACTGTTTCCCCCTATTGCTGAGACACATTTCCTGAAAGCAATACCACATTAATCAAAACTATAAACATAAAGCCAAAACCACCAACTCAGTGCTGCAAACCTCAAGCTATTAAGACGAAATTAAACACTGTGTTAAAAAATTTTCAATTCAAACACAAACCATCAAATACACTGAACACAATTACACACAGTGAGATTTGTTTAAACGAAACAGTTACAATGGTTTAGGACACTGAAATGAATGTAGGGTTGGTCAAAGAAATATGTATATATCTTGAATCTGCAATATCATGTTCATTGTGTATACATATAAAATATCAAGAATTTTCTGTTTACAGTTGTGGTTTTGTGTTTATAGAGTCATAGTTCGTTGTGTATTGACTATTGAGAAAACAAGCCGGACACACAAATGGATTAACTGGTCACGAAGAGTAAAGATGATGAAGAAAACACTGAAAGTGTCAGAGGTATTTAGCTAAATCAGCAGAAAGATGTCCAAACATTTACAATGTCTTCACACATATTTTCCAGTTGATAAATTATGCCAAAAATAAGCCCAGAAGTTTCTCTTCATTGTACTTTGCTGACAGACTTTAAAAAGCCTTTCCAGTGGTCCAGCAGATTTGTAGTGATTTGTGTGATACGCTGTCCAAATTTGTCCCACTTATAGTCTTCAAAGCAACGCTATTTTGACCTTTGAGAAAAATTGGACCAATAAAGGTAACCGTTTTCCTTTCTTTTTCAGAAGCGTTTCCAGAAGAACATCTGTGCCTTCAGCACTAATCCAACGAGACTAGCCTTTAAAACAAAGTTGGCGTTCATCTGTCATCTGTCATTTCATGTATGGATTCTGAAAGATTGGAATCTCTGTAGTTATTACCAGGGTGGAAGTGTCTGGATGTGGGTGTTACAGAAGGTCATGTGCTCAGGATGTGTGCAAAACATAACTTACTGCAATAAGACCAATTGTTGTTTTACTCAGAAAGTTAGCAAAACGTCTTTAGCTTTAATTAGTCTTCGATGAACGCCAAGGCTGTGTGAGGCAAAAAATAATAATAATTTGAATAGTATTAAAAATCACAAAATTTCTTTGTGAAACTCAAATTTCCCATGACGTCTGGTCCACTTTATAGCTTATTATGGCCATGGATGAACTGGCAAGTCAGGTTTTTCAGTTAGTCAGAATCCAAAAAAGTACTGTATAAACACCAAGTAAATAAGAGATTTATTTTGTAGCCAGGTCTGACAACTGAACTAACTCTTAACTGAAGTGATTGACAGCTTTAGTGATTATAAAGGGAGCACTCTTTATGTTTTTCTTACTGCTAACAGAATCAGCGGCCATGTACTGTACAAAGTGTAGAGAGTGATAATCACATTTAAATGCAGCAATGAATTATCATTCCTTGCGTCACTCCCAAAATTGGGATGATTGAGAGTGATAATCATAGCAACAGATTGGACAGAAAATCGAATATGTCATAATAGATCTGTGCATTAAGTCTTGCAGTGTACATGCAAATGCAAAAATGTAATGCAAGATTTGCCACAGCAATACTTAAAACACGAAAACAGAGCCGTGATGGCTGAATTATTAAAAACACTCTTTTTTGTTTTAAGTTTTATTCTGACACTTATTACTTGGGTTTCACTTTATTTTGATGGTCCCTTTATTTGCTGAGTATTAGACTGGTAGGGTTAGGGTTAGCATAAGTAGGCATGTACTTGCAAAGTTACTTATAATCTTTAGAAAGTCTGTTGGGAGTCCATCACAAGAAAGATTTAGCACATATTAAGCAGACAGTCTACTAATACTCTAATGAGAGTTATAGACATGTTGGTGCAACGTTATGTTTATTGTCAACAGAGTGTTCAAAAGGGACTATTAAAATAAAGTGTTACAATTACTAGTAATTATCACTAATAATAACTTTTATTTATTTATTTCAAATAATTTTATAAAATAGTTAAATAGTCAAAGGGTATTTTCCAACAGGTTTTGCTGGTATAGAAATTGGTACATGTGAATTGTACTGTTATTTTTGTGTTTTGACTACACTAGAACAACAATAACCTAATTTTCAATTAGTACATTAAATATGTGTAGTGTAGATGTGCAATATTTAAAAATATTTTGTCACAGATCACACATCACATCGGTCAAACACGGTGATGGCAGCATTATATTCTGAGGAACTAGAAAGCTTGTTTGTACCAAGGACAACATGAACAAAACAAATACACAAACATCCTTGAGCAGAATCTGGTTTAGTCAGCCAAACATCTGCATATACGGCAAGATTTACTTTCCTGCAGGAAAATAAATTTCCCGTCCTTCAACACAGGAGGATTATTGAAAACAAAACACAAATCTTTGCAGCTGTTTTCTGCTTTAATCAATCAACAAAAGCAGAAACAAGAATGTCTCCACAGATTCCCAAGAGATCGCACACACTTTCTCTTTCTTTCATAGCTGAGAATGTCACATTCAGTTAAACGCATGCCAGATATCTACCGGTGGGCCTTTAAACCAGTGTGACTAAGACGATCCAGCACGTCTGCTGAGACCAAAGCAGCTGAAGACACACCTCTTCCACAAGTTAACCACCCCACACACATTTAAACGAATGCACTTACCAAAAAAATAATAAACTCTACATTTCTGCTTTTCTCTTGTTTGCTTCCTCGTCTAATTTTCTGATAAACCTGGAACTTTGTCTTGTTGTCATAATTGTTGGAAGTCATAGATGAAAATTAAACTCAATACTGGCCAAACCTAGATTTTTATAGGATGAAAACACTGTATTAAACCATTGTAGATCTTTCTGGAGTTTGGAAAGTATAAATTTGTCAAGAAATCCTGTACACTTGCAAATACAATCTCTAAGTAAGTTGTGCAGAAGTGAAAAATAATTATACTTAAATTTATTTGAAATACATTTATTTCATGCTAAGTATACTACAAATACATTAACATATTAATGTACTTAATAAAAATACACTGCAGTTGTACTTTTGCTATACTAATTTAAAGTCTACTAAATTGGAACAACTCATTTTGTACTTAATGCACTTTAATTGTGCAGAAGTAGTGCTGAAGTCCAAATAAAGATACAAGTATATTTGATTGTTCTAAAGTGGAACTATTGCAAGTATACTTCAGGTACACCTTAAATGTCTTGCATTTAAAGACTGATATTATTCAAAGATCATACAATCTCATAAATAGTGACATTAAAACACATTTTAGGCTTAATATTAAGAAATGTGCATTGTTGCACAAGTAGTACTCCAAATAAAGTTAAATTACAATTTTTACATCAGTGAGTCCCAAGCAATGTGTCAGTAAATGTTAATAGGTTCGAACTACTTAGTATGAAATATTTAATTTTTTACTAAATTCAGATGTTAAGAAATGGACTAAAATTTTGCATCCTGTTTGTTAAATCTCTGCGAATTTTTCCAAGCCTCACCATGTCTTTGATACTGCCCAGTACAGCAGTGGTCAGGATTCCACACACGAAGGCCAGCAGGTTAAGTGTGGTCAGGACCCAGAGGAGAACATACAGAGAAAGGACCTCCTGACAGCTCTGCACACCAACAAACTCATAGTAATTGTTCAGATATCCTCCACTGAAAAAGAAAGCAAGAAATCATTGGCATGGTATTATTATGTTTATGTGCTATTAATAACTTATTGTTACTAGAGATTCTCAAGAAAGTGCAGGTGGTTCATTGGCGTGCAAAACTCAATGTCTGTAGTGCAAATGGTATGAAATGAATTTTATTATGACAACGCTGCTGCTGCAAAGCAATTACACTTACAGGAACTTGCTACTGCCAATACATACGCCGATATGGTGCTATGAGTATTTGAGACATACTGCTGCTGCACAGATAACATATATAATAACTAGGGCTGGTAAGCGATTACAATTTTTAATCTAATTAATTACATGATGTGGCGATTAATTAATCAAAAGATAATTTAAAGTCATTGTTGTGTAAAGCATCAAACAGACATTACAAAAAGTAGCTTCAGCAAGAAATATTTAGTTTGATACAATTTATTACATAAACTCTTTTGGACCATGAGGGTGAGTAAATGATGACACAATTGTCATTTTTGGGTGGGTGAACTATACCTTTAATAAATTATTTTATTAATTTTATTATTATTACTATGGAAATATGAAATTATTTCTTTAATGAAATGATGCCAGTAGGTGGTGGTAAATGTCTTAATTATTAAGTCATCGAGTCATTTATTCATTAATTTGATTCGTTCAAATGGCTGATTCATTCAGGAGTGAAGTAAATGGTTCTTTATCAGTGGTCCATTGAATCATTAGGCTTGTTCGACTTGAAGCGGATCATCACCATCAGATCGATTGTGTGTAACAACAAAGTACCACAAGAGCTATAGAGAGCAGAAGGCTCCTTATGCTTTTGAATCGCTCTCGCGGTACTTTGATGTCATACACCGATCGATCTGTGCAGCGCCGCTTCAAATCCAACGCGCCAAATGGTTCACCCAATTTGTTCAAAATGTGCATTAAGAAATTAAATTCTGCTGTGTGTTGCTCCGAGACAAACAGTTCTGCTTTGTCTTTATATTTTCGTTAGCAAAATTGAGCAAAACAGACAACATTGTGTCTAAAACAACACAATATTAACTTCTTACTTACTGAACTGTTGTATAAGATCAGTATCACATTTGCACTTGTGTGATATTGCACTTAGCCTGTTGCTCGTGTGATATTGCTTAACTATATGATGTAAATATGAGACAAAAACTCAAACTGGGGCATTTTTGCCCCATATCTTGAATTTTAGGGACATTCTAACGATGTTCTCTAGGCTCCATCACGCAGTGAGTTGAATGCGGTAATAATTTTAACGCGCTATTTTTCACCGTAATGAATTAATCTAATTAATGAATTAAATTACCAGCCCTAATAATAACCTGTAGCAGATCTATACAGGTGGAGCTGGGGAAGTGGAGGGATTCAGAGAAACTCTCAAAGCACACTGCGAACTGCTCTAGTGAATGCTAACCAGCCATTTATATGTAAAGCAGCAAGCTCATTGGTCGCATATGCAAAATAAACTAATCAGCTTGTACCAAGTAGTTTAACACTATGAATATCATCAGTTTGCGTTAAGGCGCCATCAAGAGTTTTATGACAGAACTTGGCATTTATATACTATTTTTAATACTCATAGTTAGAGATTTGAACCCTTAACTCAAAGTATGAATAATAGTAATGAAAGAGTGAAATTAATTTTTGGTTTCTTTGATGCTCTGCAGTTGACAAATAACAACTCGTATTGCATTATTGTTGAGTTTTTCCTTAAAGTGTCTGTGTTTCTTCACCAATATGTGAATTACTTACTTGGCGCAATCATACAAATCACAACAGTAACACGTTCCACTCCGAACCTTTATATTACATGACTCTGTTAGTCCTTGACAGGGAACCTACAAAACAATTGAGCATCTTTTAGAAATAAAACGCTATATACAAAACTCACTTTTTTATACAAGCAAAATGTTTTGTGCACACATTTTTATTCAGCTGTCTCTAGTTATAACTAACTACTGTTATAACATCAAATTATGATGCTAAATTAACTGCATGTAATAGCTCAGAGATCACAGCATCAATTCATCCACCAATGAACTAAATCAACTTAAAACAGGACTTTAGTCTTCATCAAAAACCTGGTTAAAAGACAGCTATTTAGGTGGGCATTTTTTATAAGTACAGGTAGACATACAAATATATTTTAAAGAGCTGAACATAGAAATCAGGAGGACTTGACTCACTGTAGCGTAGTAGTTCTCATAGATGTAACTATTTCCACTGGTGTAGAACTGACATCTTCCTGCCCTCATTGGACGCATATCCTGTTGAGAGTATAAGAAATGTCTTCAGTTTGACGTTTTCTTCTGCAACTGCATTGAAACATTTTTTTCTTTAATACGATGCTTTTCTACCACTACTATCTACAACCACTACAAAAACTTCGGGGGGGAAATACATTTCTTTCTTTTCTCTACATTTCCACTCTGCTCTAGCTTTTTACATTGCTCATAAATGTAAATGAGAAGCTCAAAGTGGGCATTTCTTATCATCACACCAAGAGTTTTCCCTCAAACTCAGTCCATCATTCTGCTCTTCATGAGTCACATTCATGCTGTTAAGACAGATGATCTGACCGCTGAAATACTAAAGAGTTCAGTGAACTCCTCATCTCTCCAAATGCAGCCCTTGGATTTTGACACTGAAAACTGAACATGTTATGTAGCCAGCTGAATAAACATAGTCATTAGGTTAATAAGACTTTGACTTTGAACTTGTATGACCAACTAACAGTTAGCCAAGAGGTTATCAGTCTTACTTTTTGTTATCAAATTAGACCAAACTATGTTTTTATGTGTGTAAACTGTATGTAAAGAAACATTTTAATCACTAAGGCCCAGATTTACTAACAACTTATGCAAGCGCAAACCCTCTTTTGACATTAAAAAACTGTTTAGGATTAATTAAAGACACGGTGAAAAATTAGACACGGTCATTTTTGCGGCTGACCTTATTGCATATGCATTTGCAGGACTTTCCTTTTCAGATGCAAAGTTTATGAGAGGAGGGTGTTTAAATGAATCATGCAACTCCATTTACTATGGTTTGTGCCAGTCAGTTTACTGGTATTTGTGGCATTATTTACTTCCCCAAAAGCATGTCTGAATCCAGCTAATTTGCGCTGCTCTTGGTGTTCTTTTATTCATGAAATGTCAGTAAATCACCCGCAGAACTTTCCACTCATATCTGCACTTTTATGGGATTGTGCTCTCACGCTAATTTGCCGTTAGCAAATCTGACCCTAAATTGTCTATATCTCCAATATAGTAGTGGTTGCTTGGGTATTCTTTTTGCTTGATGCTGCATTGATAAGATGTTCTGAACGGTCGCTAGGCAGTTGCTAAGGTTGTTTCTATATAAAAATGTTTCATAGTTGCTGTACTTACAATGTTGAGCAGGATGAAAATGCCATCAACCACAAGACACAGGAAACTGGAAATTATACCAAAACTCAGGAACACAATGGCTGCAATCAGCTGGACAGAGAAAGAAAAATGGATTACAGATACAAATGTACATTTGAGTTGACAGCCAAAAAAGATGCAGGCTCTATTTATTTATTTATGGTACATTTTCCCCAATATTAATGACCTGGAATATATATTTTTTTGCTTTTGATCGAAAAATAAATAATGCAATAATAAATAATAAAATATAAATAATACATAATAAGACAATATAATATATACATATAAACATTTATAATACATTATTGCTTCGATTAAACACCAAATGTGTTAACATAACACTCACATAAAGCACTACTGCATAACAAGAGATATATTATTGCATGGCGATGATCACAGTCATTTTAAATAAGTGTGACCTAATATTGCAGTATATAAAACAGCTTTATTTGACATGAACTGTACTGTAGTAAATACCTTTCCTAGTATATACCCATACATGTGCACATACACACAGTTTTTGTCCTTGTCCAAAGCTGACAAATCTTTATGTGAGTCCTGGGGGCGCAACAAAAACTCATCCAGCTTTGAAACTAACCATAAATTACGTATAAATAACAATAACTCAACCAAATGGCATAGTGTATTTATTTTAACATGCAATATGATATCCACAGGGACACATCTCTTCTCAGCTGATCAGAGGCAGACTGCCAAAAGAAGCTCAACCCACCAACAGAGAAACAGATGAACATAAAGAGAAAAGGAGAGCCCGGAAGAGAGGAAGTGAACAGAGACAGTAAATGGACGCACTGTATATAAAGTTCAACAGAAAGAGGAAGGAAGATGAAAGGACAATGTCCACACTTAGGACCTGTGCTTCTTGTTCAGTTTAGGAAAAATCTATAGCAGATGTGAATTACAGTTCAAAGATGGGAATGAGGACGACAAATTAAACAAGACATAAACCAGCATACATTTTTGACCAAATAATAGACTTTTGGTATGACTATATGTGTTGTTTTCAATTGACTCTTCGTTAAGCTCTGCCTTGGGGCAGAATCTTGTCTCACCAAAGGCAGACGTCCAGAATGTTCAGAAACCTGTTTAAAAACAGTTCTATCATGACAACATTCGGAGGGTTTGGAATGGTAGTGTACATGTCAATGTTAATGTGTTTGAATAGATCTGCTGCTGCTGCTGCTGCTGTGGAAGAACAAGTACCGAGACTTGATACTGCCAATACACCCACAGACATGCTGCTGTGAGCATATAAGTAATAAAACATACATGAAATGATCCCCATGTATAGCATACATGATTCACCCTGTAACAGATCTATACAGGTGGAGCTGGGGAAGGTGTAGGGTTTCTGAAGCACTGCTACAGCAAGCACTAGCTAAGTATTTGAATGTTGAGTAGCGAGCTCATTGGCTGCTGATACAAAAAGAACTAGCTGCGCCATCTAATAAAAAATTGTCTGCTCTCAAGTGATATTTAACTTTTTGTTGTCTTCACATATCAGATGCACCATATTTCTCTCCAAAACATTATAACGTGTTACATTATTGTTGTAGGGGGAAGTGGAAATGGTGGAATGGTCAAATATTTAGAAATTAACATAAATCATTTTCATACAATAAATATTTAAAATAAGTTTATTAGATACTGTCATATTCATAGAACAAAAAGCGAATTTGATTAAATTTGATTGTTGAATTTAAATCCTGGAACATAAAAGTGTCTAAAGAAACACCAAAATGTTGCTTTGAGAATGAGGCTTTTCATTTTCATTTTCAAATATTTCCTATCTCAACATTTGCTTTTTTTTTTAACTTGAATTTAAATTATGTTGGCTTAAAGTACGTCAGCCACCAGCAAACCAAACTGCCTCAAAGAACTGCTTCAGATGGCCATTTAAAACTTTTTTTTCCTATAATGACAACCACTGAAGCTTGAAGAAACATCACATCATTGTGAAAATGTCACTGGTTTTGTTCTATAACTGCCAGGAATACTGAAGAATTCATGCAATGTTTCCCAAGAGCTTTAATTATCACAGCATTAGGCTTGTTTTAATGACTGTCAGGGTTAAGAGTTCTTCAGGGCAGAATGATATTTGTAATTTAGAGCTACCAACACGTCATTTGTTTTTGATTATGTGATTTTAGGTCTCCAAAACAAAGTTCGGCATATGACAAACAAAGTTTTATTGGTGATTATCTAATGTATCACATTTTATCAGCAACTATGAAAGAGAGTATTTAACTATTTATTTAGAGAGTTTTATTCATTTAAGGTGAAATAATTGTTTGTTGGTGCCAGCAAACTTACAGTGCCAAGCTCTGAACTCAAGTTATTTCAACAAAGTAGCACATGAAAACAAAATTCAAAAGCACAATAAAAGTTGTAGCAAGATATGGTACATTAGCTTTTTTAGACCTCACACCATCTGTTTTTATCAAACCACTTGGCTACTATTATCTCGCTCTCTTTTTTTTTTTTTGGTTGGAACCACATGATAAATAAATAAACAGCATGGTTTTGCAAAATGAACTGTCTGTGGGCAGGATTGTTTTTTAATTTAAATATACGCATTTTTAAAGACAAATAAGTGATGGGGAACAGGAACACCATTCTGAAATCAATAAGAAATTAAAAGATCAAAAAATCTTATTTGCATCAACCAACAGCCATGTCCACATTAGAACTTAGACAAATATTTCTGATCATAAAAACGGTAGGACTTTCTTTCTTCTGTGCAACATAAAAGAAGATATTCTGAGAAGTGTCTCAGTGCCTTTTCTCCAAACAATGGCAGTCAATAGTCACCACAGCTTTAGTTACCAACACCTTTCAAAATATGCACTTTTGTGCTCCGCAGAAAGAGAAAGTCTGTGAAACAACATGAGGGTGCACCGTAAATGACGACAGAATTAATGTATCCTGTTACTGTTCTTCATAAACTGCAGTATCTCAACAGCTTGTCCAAAAAACACAGGTTCTGCCTGTCCAGAGAAACACTCTTGCAGAATAGGAGTCAATAGCCTTTTAAATGACTAAATACACTCTCCCTGGGATAACAAACGTTATCTTTTTCATCAATACATTGGAATTATGGGCTATGAAATTCCCATCTGCTCTGAAACATTCTTCTCATCTGTCTGGACACTTCATGCTGTACAAAATGTTCTTTCTCCACCTCACCCTGCGTTTATGTTTTCCTCTTTCACAGACATGTAACAGTCTGTATCTTGTTTAAGCCTTTTATGTTTGTAGCATCTTTTCCAGATATGGTCAGCATGCCACTGAAGCTGGACCATGATGAACGGAGACAGACCTTTGGCTCTCCTGAAAATTTTCCAGTCAATTCTCATGCCTGCTCCACCCAGAACAAGCTACCAACCAACTAGTAATACTGCACAGCAATGCCTTATAATGGTGGCATTTTACATGGGCAAGCAGCACTCACATTAAATATCTAGTTTCTCTGTAGTTCACATTAAGCCTTTCCTGTGACCCCAGTAAATCTGTCAGTGATGTAAAATGTAGTTTATGCTGGAGCTGAGTAGAAGGACTGACACCAGGCCCATAAACACTGGGCAGGAAATCAGTTCATGCTGTGTCTGTTTAGTACAGTGACCCTTCAAGTACAAGAAGAAATGGTTCTGCAATTTCCAAAAGTACAAGTTCTGGAGGCCCAGACGGAAACAAAGTGTGCCCAATTTGCCTGAAACACAAATCTGGAGCAAATCCTGAGGCTTGGATATGTATCTGTCCGACTACACCCTTTTAAGTAGGAAATTTAAATGTTCTGATAAAAGTGGTAATAGCGGTATACATAAACTAACTAACAGCTACAAAGATACAATGTTCTGGGTGGTAGCAATGTACCATGCATTAAAATATGGGTGGTCTGCTTAATTTCTTAATTTCAGGAGTATTTTCCTGAACATCATTATTGTATTAAAGAAAATTGTTTTCTGTTGATGCATGCAAACATATTTTGGTCAAGAATAAAATGGATCGTGTTACATTGCAAAACAATATGCATCTGTGAATCATTAAAGAACCCACTATGTTGGTGGTTATGCTCTATCAATGACACCTCTGAAATGCTGCTGATTATCACAGACAATAATCGTGTCCATCATTTTGTAAAAACAAGCAACAACATGTACAATACAGTACAGTGGAAGTCTATGGGGTCATAACACTAAACTAAACTCATCCTGCTGGAAAAAGGGAACATTTTTAGCACAAACAATAAACATTGTTTTATGAAACATTTAATGAATGGGCTTCAACAAAAATGCAGGCTGCACATTTCTTCCAGAATGCCTTGCCTGACTTCCATTATAAGTGTGTTACTACCCTTTGAAAGAAAAAAATTGCAGATGATGTACTATTAATGAAATAAAAGGCCACTTATGTGTACACTTTCATGACTGTTTCTTAACAAACTTAAGCATACTTTCACAAAGTGTACTTTTCAAAAATGTCAAAATGGCATTGTTTTAATAATATTTTGTCATTCTTTAAAGACATACACTTATTTTGATGTGTTGACAAATTTTAACTGTAGTGTGCTATTTGACAGTAAATATAAATTAGAAATATTTTAAATGAAAGTTTGCTGAAAAAATGTACTCACACTCAGGCTTTGCAAAATGTAGATGAATTTGTTTCTTCATCAAAACAGATTTTGAGAAATGCGGCATTACACCACTTACCCACCAATGGATGCAGTGAATGGGTGCCGTCAGAATGAGAGTTCAAACAGAAGCTAAAAGCATCACAATAATTCACAAGTAACCCACATGACTCCAGTCAATCAATTAATGTCTTGTAAAGTGAAAAGCTGCATGTTCGTATAAACAAATGAATTAATTAGAGATGTTTTTAACTTCAAACCATTGCTTCTGGCTAACATACGAGTCCTCTATCCACAATATTGCTATCTCTAGTGAAATAGTTGTCTCGTTTGAATCAGGAGAAATATGCGCAGATTAAGCAACATTTATAAGCGAAAACAGTTTGAAAAAAATATGTTGGTGGATTTTGATTTGAGAGATTGATGTGTTGACAAATTTTAACTGTAGTGTGCTATTTGACAGTAAATATAAATTAGAAATATTTTAAATGAAAGTTTGCTGAAAAAATGTACTCACACTCAGGCTTTGCAAAATGTAGATGAATTTGTTTCTTCATCAAAACAGATTTTGAGAAATGCGGCATTACACCACTTACCCACCAACATTTATAAGCGAATATGTTGGTGGATTTTGATTTGAGAGGAGAACAGATGATGGACTTTTTCACTGGAGGATGCATTATTATGATGTTTTCATTTTACAAAATTTTAATTGATAGCCTGGAGTCGTGTGGATTACTTGTGGGTTATTGTCATACTTTTATCCACTGTTTGCACTCTCATTTTGACGGCACCCATTCACTGCAGAAGATCCATTTGGTGAGCACTTGATGTAATGCTTAATTTCTCCAAATCTGTTCAGATTAATAAACAAACTCATCTACATCTTGGACGGCCTGAGGGTTAGTACATTTTTTGCAAATTTAGATTTTCAGGTGAACTATTCCTTTACCTGTCCAGGCAGATCAATGTAGACCTTGATATCAATGATTTATATTTTGTACTTTCATAGCTGTTACATCACTAAAGCCTTGTTCAGACTGTCAGTCCAGATCTGTTTTTAGTGAATATCTGACTGGAATCAGATCGTATTTAGCTGGTCTGAACAGCAAAAATCATGTGAAATCTGATTTTGTGTAGCTTTTTGCCTATGATTAATTAGAGATGTTTTTAACTTCAAACCATTGCTTCTGGCTAACATACGAGTCCTCTATCCACAATATTGCTATCTCTAGTGAAATAGTTGTCTCGTTTGAATCAGGAGAAATATGCGCAGATTAAGCAACATTTATAAGCGAAAACAGTTTGAAAAAAATATGTTGGTGGATTTTGATTTGAGAGAAGAACAGATGATGGACTTTTTCACTGGAGGATGCATTATTATGATGTTTTCATTTTACAAAATTTTAATTGATAGCCTGGAGTCGTGTGGATTACTTGTGGGTTATTGTCATACTTTTATCCACTGTTTGCACTCTCATTTTGACGGCACCCATTCACTGCAGAAGATCCATTTGGTGAGCACTTGATGTAATGCTGAATTTCTCCAAATCTGTTCAGATTAATAAACAAACTCATCTACATCTTGGACGGCCTGAGGGTTAGTACATTTTTTGCAAATTTAGATTTTTAGGTGAACTATTCCTTTACCTGTCCAGACAGATCAATGTAGACCTTGATATCAATGATTTATATTTTGTACTTTCATAGCTGTTACGTCACTAAAGCCTTGTTCAGACTGTCAGTCCAGATCTGTTTTTAGTGAATATCTGACTGGAATCAGATCGTATTTAGCTGGTCTGAACAGCAAAAATCATGTGAAATCTGATTTTGTGTAGCTTTTTGCCTATTTCTCTTTCTCACGCCCCGTAAAACGTACAGTAAACACATCAGACATTGTCAAACATTAAAATCAGGTTCCAATCGGATATGCACAAAAATTGGACTTAGACTGACAGTCTGAACAAAGCTTACAGTTTTTTTAACTGCTTACACACATTTTCAAAACTTGCCATAATATTAATTCCTGTTAGATTTTTGTGTGTTACACAGAGAATTGTGTGTTGTGTTTTGCAAAAAGTGTTTTATGAAATGGAAAACTGAGTCAAAGGGTGAGAATTAGTGTATGGTTTTGCAGATTTGGTGTGTGGTTCTGGTGTTTGAGTGTCAGGTTTCAGAAATTGTGTGATAAGTAAAGATTGTGTGTGTAAGCAGTTGAAAAAAAACTGTAATTCACCCAACAGCAACTTGGGCTGTTTCTAAGCAGTAATTGGAGTAACCCTGAATTCACCTGGATTACTGGAAGAAATCAACAGTCCCCATAAGGATGCGGGCTTAATATTGTCTTAATTAAAATGCAAGAAATGCAGAAAAGTTTGTGTGAGGGTTAGGTTTTGGAGTTGAGTTAGGTGGTGGAAAACATAAGCTAAGTGTAAAGACAATAAAAGTCAATGGAAAGTCCCCACCAAAAAACATGTGTGTGTGTGTGTGTGCAGGTTTGATTACTTGTGAGAGCCAATTGTTTGAAAATGCGCTCACAAATATAGAGAAACATGTCAGAAACCCAACTGCGAGGACATTTAAAGTGTCCACACTATTTGATTGGCTCATAAATTGGACAAATTATGTTTTCATTAAATCTGCTACAGGTTTGTGTGAGGGTTAGGTTTAGAGGCAGGACTGATCTTATCAAACCTTTGAAACCAGTGTGAAATTCTGAACAACTGTGCCGGCTCTTAGCTATATACATGACATATACAGTAGTCTCCTTTCTGATTATTTTGCATATAATTTATGGTTTTTTGAAATTCCATATATTTAAAACTTTTAAAAGTCACTAAAAATGATGAACTTTTTAAAACAATTTATGAAACATCACTGAACATCATTTGGCAGATCTGTGGTATAAAAACAGATATAGTGTGCTTTTAAATGCTTATGCTTCACATATTTGCACTTTGGAAGCATGAGATTAGAATGTTTTCTTAACCAGACCAAAGAAAAAGGAAAAATAAAAAGGGTACATATTTTGTGAACCATAACTAGAAATTACCATGGCAGGATGACAAGGTATTATGCTGATCAGGATCATAAAACAGGAAGACAAACCCCAACTGAAAATGTTACATTGTGATATCTACCAGCTGCTTGCGGTTTTCCTCCAGGCATAGTCCAAGAACTCCCAAGAATGAGCCAAATGCCAACTGCAATCAGTAGACAGACATGAATGTAAAAAGAGAAACAAATGATGCAAAATACTCTAGAGAACATAAGCATGACCGTACGAGCACTGGGAATCATTATCATGGTTTCAATTCGTTTCATGCTAAATGATTTATGGCATTCACTCTATGGCTTTTTCAAGCTTAAATGACAAGAAAATATGAAGGAGAAGTCTGAAACAAAAATATTTCAAGGATCATGAGATCCTTATGTGTTGTGGAACACATAACCTACCCTCTCCTCAACATCATGCTGATAACTACAGTAACTGTAAGATCCAATCACTTTGGATGCAAAACTTCTTCATGGCCATCAACTTATGAGAGGTGACACACTGTAGCTATACTCATAGTCCAAGTCTCCAGCAGGGTATCTGCAGGAGTTGTGGAAAGTTTCACAGACCATCCAAGTTCACATATGGAAAAGAGATGTTTTGGTAACACAGTATGCGGTTTACTTCTCACTGTCAGACTGATTTTATTGTGTTCTTTTTCCTGCTGTGAACCCATTGATAATATTTGACATTGTATCAACAAGAAGCCCCTTGTTTATAATGTCTGAACAGCCTTGAGCTCACAGATGAAGTCACTAATGCAATTCATTAATTGGGAAAATGCAAGTTTGAGTATTACTAAGATGCAACCACTTACACTTCTAGGATTGGTTCATAAAAATGGGGGGAATTTCTGTCGTTATTTACTCATGTTATTCCAAACCTGTATGAAGCAAATGAAGACAGAGTTTTTAAGTTTCAAAAAGGATGCATTGTATAATAAAAGTGTAATAAAATGTTGTACAATCCAAGAGATATTGTCAGTGAATTGAGGGGTGCATGGCCAAAAATACTTTAAAAAAAAGGTACAAAATGAGTCCCACACGATTCAATTAGGGAAATTTAATACTTACATACAAGATTATTCTGTATTATACAAATACAGAAAGTATTATTCTGTGATGGCTGGCAACCTTAGTTATAGTCCTAGGTGTCATAATAGGGCTACAAAATGTAAGACGGTGCTTGGCCATTGACTGCCTTGTACTCTAGAAGTGTTTTTAACCTGATTCTAGCAGTGACAGGGAGCCATTTACGTGAAACAGACATGCATTGTGGCGTGGAAGTACATGGGAAGCTTGAACAGCCAGTCTGAAGTATTCTGGGTAAGCTGCACAGGTCTCCTCATATGCTGGGAGACCGGCCAGGAATCAGTTGTAGTAGTAAGAACAGGTCTCGGCTAAAGTTCTGGTTAGCATGTGGGGTGCAAATGACAGATTCAGCAGAGGATCGCAGCGCTCGGATGCGAGCGAGCTCACGTCGGCTCAAGTCCTACATGCCTCGCTCTCTCAACACAGAGAGGCTTCCCCCGTCCTCTTCAATCAGTTTGACCAGCGTCCCTCTGCCAGCGCGAGCGATCTGGTCTTGTTCGGTGTCATTAGCAGCCTCGTATGCGGAGGAGCTGTAAGGCTCGACTGCCAACCCTGCCCCCCTGCCGTCGTCCGAGCACAGCTGTCCTGGTGGCCCCGGTCTGGAGAAACCAGCATTGGTTATCAGAGCTGTCGCAGCTGCTCATAGCAGCCCCGTGACCCATTCCCCTGAGGCGGGATCTCCTCTCTCAGACAAACAGGACAATATGGCACCCCCGGCCCAAGCTGTGGGCTCTGCATCTTTGGCCACTCGACGGGAGCCTGCAAGCCTCCCAGAGTGTGTTCGAAACACCATTTCTCAGGCTAGAGCTCCATCTACAAGACGCCTCTACGCCCTTAAGTGGTCAGTGTTCTCCGCTTGGTGCTTAACCAGGCGAGGACAGGCGTATCGGTGATATTGCCCTTCCTACAGGAGCTATTGGATAAGGAGCACTCCCCATCCACGCTCAAGGTCTATGTAGCAGCTATAACGGCTTTTCATGCCCCGATAGCAGGCCAGTCGGTGGGCAGAAACAACTTTATTGTCCGTTTTCTGAGGCTAGGAGGCTGAATCTGCCCCGTCCCCTCACTGTCCCTACGTGGGACCTGCCCACTGTTTTGAGGGCCCTGAAGGGTCCTCCCTTTGAGCCGCTGCAGTCTGTTGACCTTCGGTCCCTTTCGTTGAAAACCGCTCTGCTGCTAGCATTAGCATCGGTCAAACGAATGATAGACTTACAGGCGCTCTCTGTGAGCCCTACCTGCCTGGAGTTCGGGCCTGGCGACTCTAAGGTTGTCCTGAAACCGAGGCATGGTTATATATCTAAGGTGCTCTCTACTCCATTCAGGGCACAGGTCATTACACTCTCTGCGCTTCCTCCCTCAGAAGAGGACCAGGAGTTGGTCTCTGCCTCATCAGGGTGCTGAAAGTTTACATCGAGTGTTCTGCCCCGTTTAGGCAGTCTGAACAGTTCTTTGTTTGCTTCGGTGGCTGTGCTAAAGGGCATCCGGTCACGAAGCAAAGACTTTCTAAATGGATAGTTGACACTATTATGCTAGCCTATTCTTCCTTGGGCCTGCAATGCTCCATTGGAGTATGAGCCCATTCAACTAGAGGCGTCGCCTCTTCTTGGGCATGGTCAAGCGGCTTGTCCATTGCGGAAATTTTTGTGGTGGCCGGTTGGGCCTCGCCATTCACATTTGCTAGGTTTTATAACCTGGACGTCCCTGTCTTGCAGGCTAGGGTTCTTTTTGCATAACTGGCATGCACCTGCTTACGCAGTACCACTCTGAGCAGGAGTTTGGCCGTAATATGCTCAAAACCATCAGAGGATTTACTTGTGCGCTCTCGGGCCTCATAGGTGCCGGGGCTGTGCAAGTCTTCTGGAATGATCACTCTGGTTGGGCGTGACCTCTGTGAGCTTAGCCCATTCGCCTTGGGAGGTGTTGGACTTCACGCTATTGTCCCCTTGGGTTCTGAGGTGCCTAGGGCAAGGTTACACATGTAGTCGTTCCTCTGCCATAGCACGGCGTGATTGTATTGGTTCCCATAGCATCTTAGCAGACGCAGTATGAGTGAAGTATTGATAGGGAACGTACTCGGAGATACAGGAACGAGTACTGCATTGCTAGCCATGCTATACAGTTGCACGACTCAGTCGTCGCTTCAGTCGAAGTAACCTAAATCCTATGGCGAAATGCCCGCTTATATAGCCAGATGGCCCCGCCCATTCTGGCGGGCTTTGTCGGGCTTCGTGGCCATAGGTTCGTGCAGCACCGCTGCCGAACCATTGGTTCGTTTTTAAAGGGGTCATATGATGTGATTTAAATTTTTCCTTTCTCTTTGGAGTGTTACAAGCTCTTGGTGCATAAAGAAGATCTGTAAAGTTGCAAAGACTGAAGTCTCAAATCCAAAGAGATATTCTTTATAAAAGTTAAGCTGTGGATCGCCGGATCGGCTTTCACCGTGGACGAAGCGGAGTCCAGCCCGGGGTCGTCTCATGTGGTTGCCACAAGCCCACCGCCTCTGCTCACTCTAGCCCTCCGGCCGTTCCTCACTCTAGGCCGCCGTGTGTGATGCTGTGTTTCGTTGGGAAAGTGAAACTACTTTGTTGGGCCTTTCCGAAAAATGGACACGACTAGAAATCAGTGGTTAAGTTGTATTTACAACACTGTTCCAGAACACTTCAACCCAAATATTCAGATGTGTGTAGCACATTTTATGGAGGACCGTTTCCTGATCCTGGAAGAGTAGACTACAATGCCGGCTGTTCTGACTCACGGACTGTAAGTACGTTTTTTATATTTAAAGAGTTTTTATATTTTATATTTTTTATATTTAAAGCGAGTTTTTTGGGCAGTGTAGAGTAGGGCTTGTTGTTTGTAATTTCTCCGATCACAAATGCAGACATGGTTTTATGTTTACGCGGCGCAATGCAACGCAATGCGTAAAAAGACAGTATTAAAAAGACAGTATAAGTCATTATAATCCATAATTATGTCCCCACAGGATGCAACGAATGTCTCGATCGTTTATAATGGGTTTTCATGTTTTTGAATCATCGCTCTGGCCTGACGGGGCATCATCACAGTATGATAGGGGCGTAACATTTCCGTCACACGCTTGAGGTATTCGGCCAATCATAACGTACTGGATAGCTGGCCAATCACAGCACACCTTGCTTTTCAGACCGATGAGCTTTGTAAAAATCGACGCGTTTCAGAAAGGCGGGGCATAGAGGAGAAACAATAATGTACAGTATGTGGAAAATAATGTGTTTTTTTAACCTAAAACCGCATAAACACATTTCATTACACCAAATACACAAAATAATGTTCTTTTTAGCAACATCATATGACCCCTTTAAAGTATACTGCACGAACCAATGGGCGTGCAGTTACACTGCGTTATTGAAAAAGGCTTCAGTTCAGGAAAAAAAGGGCTTTTTCCCATAGCGTCTTAGCAGACGAAGTACTCGTTCCCGTATCTCAGGGAACCGAGGTTACGTTTGTAACCGAGTACGATTCTGATGCTATTTCAGAGTGTGTGGTTTTCTCATGAAAATTTGTCTTGGAAAGGTTTGGCTGGTCTCTGTCTATTTTGGAGACTTCTATGAGTTTTAAATAGAGTCAGAGCAGTGGATTTGGCTTGGGGTGTTGGAGGAATTACTGCTCCAACCAAAATTAGTGTTCTTCTTGACAGACGATTAATGTCAAATGACTACTTTCTTATCAGATTATGGTTCGACTGAATGAGACATATAAGTACATTTTCATCTCGCTGGATGGAATGGAATCTTCATTGAGACCAGAATAAACTCTAGTTCTCCAGGGTATGTACAAAAAGATCAAGAATGTCATAGTTAGAATACCAAAGAAAACAAATACAAACAAGCAACAAATACTGAACAAAAGAACAAGCAAATAAATATTTTCTATTCAAACATTTTCCCCCCATTGTTTCTGCATTTACACCAAATACGAATCAAAATGTGATTATGACACTTACAATAATTCCTGACATGTATCCTGTGATGCTGACGCTCACAGTGCGTGTGCTGGTGTAGATACCCATCACTACAATGAGCAAAGACAGACTTAACATGCCTGAAACCAGCCACTGAGCCTTTCTTCTCCTCATCCTCACTGCATCTACCAGAGAGAGTTTAGGAGTTAACTACATTTAAACGATTGCAGATCAATAACATAAACATAGTTTAAATCTGCTTAAATAGCCTACATAGTACAGGTTTCCTCTCTTGACTGACAAACTCAGATTAGGTCTGAAATGTTTTTAAATAACACTCTTTTTGGTCAAATTAGGTCTCACTTTATCTAATTTATTAAGGTACGTTTATTAAATACACACTAAAAACACATATTCATATGTTGAAGCTTGATCCACTATGAGGTTGTCACAAAAACATTTTTGCGAATGAAAAATATTTATTAATGACGGGTATATATGATTGTCTACTCATATTTAAAAGACAATCAACCATGAGGGGAAAAAATCGTTCCATTTTACCTGAGGTCCCACTCACTTTACCTGCTGAGCTGAACTCTCTCAATACACAGTCAGTCTATGTTTATCAAATTCAGGAATATAATCGATAAAATAGTTTCGACTGGAAACACATATTTTATTTTACTGTAAAAATGAGAAGTGCAGGTTAATGCAGACATTATGTTTCTTACATTAACAATAATACGTATAATACAAAAAAAATACTTTCTATTTTTCAAATGTTAAGCTTTTCTTTCTTACGCTACATGGACTATATGTTTGAAATCGGATTCAACACTTACCTGCAGCAGCGTGTGAAGGAGGGGAGTCGCGCCGGGTCGTTTCCAGTGCGTTTGTCATTTCTCCTCGTTAAAGTTTATAATCCAACCGATCTCACGCGCGGTGTACATCCAGACTGTGCGCGCCAATGCGACTGCAAGAGCTTTTATACAAGTGCCAGCGCCCTCCGGAGAATTCAGGGACGTGAAATTAGAGTCTGAACAAAGTTAACAGTTCAACTGAAACACGTCTAGCCTGGTAGCGTAATGTGATATACATTTTTAGAGTTTGAGGCAAAATCTTCTTTGTCTTTTTCTGACTTTTGACTATTTGATGATGGTTTTGTTGTAATGCTTCTTCAGAAATTGTTGCAGATGATGCTTATTTGTCACCTACTGCAGTGAGCATTTCTATTTTTAATTTTTCTGTAAAGACAAACTTTAAAGTTTTGACTATTAAAAAAGGGTAACACTTTATTTTAAGGTGTCCTTGTTACACGTTACATGTACTTACTATTATAATAACAATGAATTATGCATAATTACATGCAAGTAACCCTAAACCAAACCCTATAATCCTAACCCTAACCATATAGTAAGTGCATGTAAATTATTATTACTCAGTACATAATTACACTGTAACAATGACACCTTAAAATAAAGTGCAAACTAAAAAAAAGCTATAGAACGGCTCAGGAAAAAGATTATTTAGTTTATTAAACACGTTCTTTTATGACAACAAAAGCTATTAATAAGCAAAATGGTGCTTCAGTCTCAAATAACCTTATTTCAGTGTCAAGATTATAGAGCAATATGAGTCTCACTACACAAATGGGCAACTGATCACTTGTAGATTTAATCTCTGAACACTTGCCAGTTTCTCGCGTGTAAAGTGTTGTTGGGAAACTCAGCAATGTGATGTTATAATACTGATTTGTATCAGTTTTTTAGTTAAGGGAACATGCAAAAAATGATTTATGGGAGGAGGTTCAGATGTGTCTGTTCTTTTTTTGTGTGTGACTAAAAACAATCAAACCTACTTCAGCCGTTTGAAAACTTGCCTGCTGTACAAGAGCAATATACCCTAGTGAGAGACAGTACACTCTAAAAAATGCTGGGTTAAATACAACCCAGTGCTGGGTAAAATAGGGACAAACCCAGCAATTGGGTTGTTTTGACCCAGCAGTTGGGTTAAATGTTTAACCCAACCTTCTGGGTAGTAACCCAACCGCTGGGTTTGTCCCTATTTTACCCAGCACTGGGTTGTGTTTAACCCAGCATTTTTTAGAGTGTATACTTAAATATATTTGAAATACATTGTTTCATGCTAAGTATATACATTTACATATTTATGTACTTTTTTACAATTGTACTTTATTATACTAAACTGTTAAACTGCTAAATTCGAACAACAAATTTTGTTCTTAATGCACTTTAATTGTGCAGAAGTAGTGCTGAAGTCCAACTAAAGATATACTGAACTATATATAATTGTGTTAAAGTGGGACTATTGCAAGTATACTTTAGGTACACTTTAAATATTATGCATTTAAAGGCCGATATTATTCAAAGATCATACAATCCTCATCATGACATTAAAACACATTTTGGGCTTAACGTTAAGAAAAGTCCATTGTGCATGAGTAGCACTCCAAATAAAGTTTATTTATAATTTTTATATCAGTAAGTCTTGAGCAATTTGTAAGTTAATAGATTTGAACTATATATTTATTATGAAATAATTGCATTTTAAATATAGGCTATTATATAGGTATGAACAAATTGATTGAAAACGGTGCTATAAATTAGCAACACTGAAGGTGCTGTACTGTTCCTGGCCTTTCTGTATTAGCTAAGGTGTTAAGTGTGCAGCATATGCTTTTCTATCTGGGATTCATTTAGAAGTCACATTCCTGCCAGGCTGTAAATTATTTTTGTTGTTCAACACGCTCCTCTATGGATAGCAGGTGGATCTAGTTAGGAGTGAAAAATGACTTTGTATTGTGATAAAACCTTAGAGATTCTATATGCAATTAGACCTTTAAACTCAGTCAGGTGTCTGCTGTATATCTCCTGCCATATTGCACATTTTATTAATCTCTTCTGCATACTGCAGGGTGTTTAAACTCACACAGCGATGCATGATATATTTGATAGGTGTGAGGAGCTTGGTGGGTGATATTTTTCCTCTGTCTGCAGCTAGAATCTCTGGAACTCTCAATGATGGTCAGGAATTGGTCAATGTGTGTTCACTGACATAAGACTAAAAAACAGCATCTCAGATTTCACCGCATGAATCAAAACTGATGAGACCGAGGATGCTTGTAACACTTTTTCCCTTTAACATCTTTAACTCATTTTCCCCCATGTTCATCTGCTACATATTAAAGTGGTTGTGAAACCAACATTATCCTTGAACTGTATAAAGTAATGTCAAGTAATGCAAGTAAAGAGTGCTGTTATTACAATATGTTCCAATACCAGGGTGAAATGTTGATATTTCTTTCTGGAAATTGGTCTTTGTCACCTCTAATTTCTAAGTGGGTAACCTGACAGTGTTACAATTCACATTGTGTTATAATCATATAACCTAATGTATATACACTGAACAAAATTATAAACGCAACACTTTTGTTTTTGCCCCCATTTTTCATGAGCTGAACTCAAAGATCTAAGACTTTTTCTATGTACACAAAAGGCCTATTTCTCTCAAATATTGTTCACAAATCTGTCTAAATCTGTGTTAGTGAGCACTTCTCCTTTGCCGATATAAACCATCAGCCTCACAGGTGTGGCATATCAAGATGCTGATTAGACAGCATGATTATTGCACAGGTGTGCCTTAGGCTGGCCACAATAAAAGGCAACTCTAAAATGTGCAGTTTTACTGTATTGGGGGGTCCGGGGGGGTCTGAAAACCAGTCAGTATCTGGTGTGACCACCATTTGCCTCACGCAGTGCAACACATCTCCGCACAGAGTTTATCAGGTTGTTGATTGTGGCCTGTGCAATGTTGGTCCACTCCTCTTCAATGGCTGCGCGAAGTTGCTGGATATTGGCAGGAACGGGAACACACTGTCGTATACGCCGATCCAGAGCATCCCAAACATGCTCAATGGGTGACACGTCCGGTGAGTATGCTGGCCTTGCAAGAACTGGGATGTTTTCAGCTTCCAGGAATTGTGTACAGATCCTTGCAACATGGGGCCGTGCATTATCATGCTGCAACATGAGGTGATGGTCGTGGATAAATGGCACAACAATGGGCCTCAGGATCTCGTCAAATTATCTCTGTGCATTCAAAATGCCATCAATAAAATGCACCTGTGTTCGTTGTCCATAACAAATGCCTGCCCATACCATAACCCCACCGCCACCATGGGCCACTCGATCCACAACGTTGACATCAGCAAACCACTCACCCACACGATGCCATACACACTGTCAAGTCAAGTCAAGTTTATTTGTACCTCGCTTTTGTACATTTACGTCCGTACAGTAGAATGCAGAAGAAGAAATTTCAAGACACTTCAGCAATAAACAAAGACACACAAATTTTTGTCTAGAGTAATTTTTGCTTATTAGTACGGTTCAACTGGATCATCGAAGGACAGAAGCAAAGACATTGGTAAATAGAATGGGATTAAATACATAAAGCATATTTGTGTTGTTTAACATTTAATTATTGCAGGTTTGCGTCATATTCTGAGTTGCATTCTTTTATTCATTTTGAGGAATACTGAATTTGTGTTTTTGTTTTTTGTGAGTGAGATGAATTAGTCCTAATGCATCATTTGTATTATCAATGTGAATATTAAAATCTCTGACAATTAGCGCTTTATCAACAGTAACCATTAGGTCTGAGAGGAAATCTGCAAATTCTTTTAGGAAATCTGTATATGGCCCTGGTGGTCTAAACACAGTAGCCAGAGCAAGAGAAACGATAGATTTATTTTGCATATCTGACCGTGTAACATTAAGCATTAGTATTTCGAATGAGTAACATTGAGAATATCACTATATATTGTTGCAACACCACCGCCACGACCAGTCTGACGGGGCTCATGCTTATAATAGTAGCTTGGTGGAGTAGACTCATTTAGACCAATATAATCATTAGGTTTTAGCCAGGTTTCAGTCAAGCAGAGTACATCAAAACGATTATCTGTGATCATTTCATTTACAACAACTGCTTTGGGTGAGAGTGATCTAATGTTTAGGAGCCCAAACTTAAAAAAATGTTTTTGTTAATTTATTTTACATTTTTCTGGTTTAATCACGATCAGATTTTTTCTAGATCCTGCATTAAATGTATATTTTGACCTCACTATTCGGGGAACAGACACAGTCTTTATAGATTGTACAGCACAAGTACTTCTATCATTTAAGCGGGTAGAACACAAGTCATCAGGGCAGTTATTTAAGATTTGACTTACTAGTCATATGGTGCGTAGCGTCCTGGAGATGTTGTCCGACATGAGCTCCGCTCCCACTCTGCTGAGGTGCAGGCCATCAGCGCGAAAAAGCCTAGGACGCGCCCAGAAAAGATTCCAGTTATTAACAAAGAGCAGTTTCTGTTTTTACACCATGACAATAACCATTCATTTAAAGCAAAAAGTCTACTGAACCTTTCGTGTCCTCGTCGATACGTGGGAAGCGGTCCTGACACGATGATCGTCGTCGTGGGCGATGTGCGGTGCACCGTCTCGATCAGGCTCCTGAAGTCCCTCTTCAGTGTCTCCGTCTGCCACAGCTTGGTGTCGTTAACCCCGCGTGAAGCACGATCGCTCCGGTGCTCTCGTCGCCCTTCAGGATCTGCGCAGAAACATCGAGAACACGAGCACCAGGGAAACAGTGAGTGTGCACCTTACCTTCAGCTAACGTAGCACGGACGTGCCGGACGATGGAGTCTCCGATGATCACAGCGTCGCGTTCCGTCTCGCGGAGGGGAGCGAAGCGGTACCGGGTGGAGATCTCGAAGACCGGAGGCGGCGGAGAGGGAGAGGTCGTCGCCCGGGGCCTGGCTCGCGTCTTCCACTGCAGCTGCACCCAGGGTCCGTGGTGTCCCGGCGCCGGAGTGAAGGACATCTGGGAAGATCGCGTCCTGGGTGCACCAGT